GGATTTTTACTTAAACAGCTCAATGAAAACACTTTTTTTTCCTTCAAATTGCTTCTACGAGCTATATTTTTGCTCCAGTAGTTGAAGTATCTTTCGTGAAAATGTTTCTTGAACGTTACAAATATTCTTGATGCTATACCTTATATCTGACGTTGTTATGTTGTGATTTCATTTTCAGGGTGACTCGAATCCATATAGTAAAAAAGAGAAAAAAGATCGTTTATGATTGTGATTTCATTTTCAGGGTGACTCGAATCCATATAGTAAAAAAGAGAAAAAAGATCGTTATGCTGAAATATATCGGAATATCTGCGAGTCGTTATATGCTTACCTCGCATCGAACATGGAGTCGTTAATTTTCGACCACAATAGGTCTAAATTTGTTGCTGCCTGTTTGGAAACTACAAGTAAGTCTTGTGTTCACACTACTAAATTACCATTTACCCACTACTAAATGTTGTTGTATAAGATTCTTATCTTCTTAGACGCACCATTCGGAGTTTTTCTTGCCTCGTTCTAAGAAAGTCTTTGCAGGCAGTTATGATTTATTCGATCGTCAAGTTCCGGCCGAAATGCGACAGAAATGCAATGAGGCGCTTGCTCAGATAGCTAAACAGGTATGTCGTCGTTTCCCTTCTTATTTTTCCCTGATATAGATTTCAAGATATCCGCAAAAGACGGCGGTGATTTTTTTTCAGGAATTCGTACCTATGGATAACGAACGACTTCACTTAATAGAGCATCTTGCTGGGAACTTTGTTTTGATGGCTGTATTGAGGTATTATGTTTGGGCTCGTCGCCATCGTAGTCTATCATCCAGTTGAGTTTCATTTAGGTGTGACAATGGCCTACCGGAAGATCAAAGGCTATCCGTTGCAATTGTCAATACCTTATCCAAAGAAGAGTTAGGTTCATGGATTTGCTGTAATAAGGTAGAATTTCTCGTAAGGAGCCTTAATAGTTCGTGCAAATTATAAGGCTGTTCAGGGCTGCCATGTTTTGTTAAAAATGCTTCATTGCGGATCGACTGCAGTTAAGGAAAAAGTGAAGGAAGCCGTCAACATGAAGCAACTGAGGGAGTATACATTCCGTGGTGCCACCTTACTCGTTGATGCACTGTCGAAGTAACCCGCTAGCAAGGGAACACAGGAGGCTAGTATAGCCGTTGGGTGAGCACAGACTTACCGTACGAGCTTAGCAGGGATTCGAATTGCCGCAGTGATTCAAGCCGTATATACTTGTGTAGCATGGTCATGAACTTCTCATTCCACGAAGCTCTTTCACGTCAGTCTCGTGTTAAAGTAACGCGGTGTTTATATTCGCTGTCACATGTACGACAGTTTCATTTGGGATATTCCTTTATTATTACTCCTCCTCCTTCTACCATGTGCATCGTTATGAAGGGATGTTTGGAGGGATGTTCGTGATCATCCTACGTCTGTCAATATTATTTTACTATTAGCATAACAGTTCAGCTGCTAAACTACATCAAGATTTCGCTTTTGTCGCTTGGTTGTGTTGCATTTACATGAGTCGTTACCTCTTAGATGCGAGATCACAGGTAAGTATTCTTAGTGGGCACACTATCACACCCCTCGAATAGGTTTTTGGATCTTTTGTCTGAGCTCAAAAAATATTTGTGCTATTTGAGTGTGTTGTCAAGGTACGTTTTTACTACAACTTGCCATATTGGCTTAATACCTTTCCTTTCTCAGTTTGGTTAGCGCTTCTCGTTATTATTGTTATTTTTGAATGTTATCTGTTTTCTTTTTTTTTGTTTTCTGATTTCATCGACAATATTCTCGATGTATGATTGTTAAAAAATTATGTTAGTATAAGGTAAATTCCGCGTTGCAACCCATATGTGCAGGCCCGCTGTTATTGTTGTTACAAATTATTGTTAGTGTGAAGGTGATTGTTACCGGATGCAATGCGAGAGGTAGCCCAGTAAAATTTTATGAATGTTTCCCGCTCTTTGAAAAGCATTCCACTTATTCAGACCTTCAGAAAAATCACAGATTTTTCTCAGAAGCTGCGAACTTGCTTGATTATTGCTTATCGTCTGCTGTAAACTATAAGGCTGAGTTAAATGTCATTCAAATGGGTCGAATATTCTGGGCACTTGGTAAGGCCCTAGCGAAGCCGAAGCCTATACTATGAGTAATGGGTAAGAAGATGATGTCTGTTGTTGCATGACGTTTGCTGAAGTGGAGCTGCGCAGATACATACTGTGTTATCGTTTGGGTATGAGAATTACCGCGAATCCCAGTATTTTCCTCCCATGAGTAACCTTATGGGTTAAGTGTGGGATTTCTTTATTACATAGGCATGTAAGGCCTTTTCAAAACTATTTCGAACCACAGAGTTTGATAGGAACTATTTATTCAACCAAGAATCAGATTCGAGTGAGAATCATGACGAAAACCTTCATTTGGCATGTCTGGAATCTGGACCTTCGAAAACACCACGAATTGATGATAGAAACACCTCTACACGAGTAACATTTGAAAAATACAATAGAAATTTGGCTTATTATATAATTTTGTAGCTACATATAGATTGTAAGACGGTGGTAATTAGCTGCCGGAAAACAGAACAACAATCATCACAGGATGGATGTCGAGGATGAGGATTAGAANTGTTAAGTGTGGGATTTCTTCATTACACAGGCATGTAAGGCCTTTTCAAAACTATTTCGAACTACAGAGTTTGATAGGAACTATTTATTCAACCAAGTATCAGATTCAAGTGAGAATCATGACGAAAACCTTCATTTGGCATGTCTGGAATCTGGACCTTCGAAAAAACCACGAGTTGATGACAGAAACACCTCTACACGAGTAACAATTGAAAAATGCAATAGAAGATTGGCTTATTACATAATTTTGTAGCTACATATAGAACGTAAGACGGTGGTAATTAGCTGCCGGAAAACAGAACAACAATCATCACAGGATGGATGTCGAGGATGAGGATTAGAAAGTGAAGTGATCAGAGGGCATGTATTCGCGTGGAGGAGGGAGATGTAACCTGTTTGATCAATCCGCTGATGGCATAACCTGGAAGTAGCGTGTAATCGAATGGCTTGAGTTAATACTCAGATAGTCACCCGGCCGAATCCCGTACAACTCGTAATACCGTAAACGGAGTTTTCGGGTATGGGTCGTTAGGCTCATTACAACCAGAAACTCCCTCCGGCTCCGGTGCAATAATGTGATATGCTGTTTTTCAAGCTTGAACCTAGTCTTACCTTCAGTCGTTCGAACGCTGCCTTCTCCAGCTCAGCTCGTTTAGATGGATGAGCAATCTTTATGAGTTCGTACGCCCTTTGTCGCATATTCTTTCCCCATAGTTGAGCAATACCGTTCTCCGTAACAACGTAGTGTACATGAGATCGGCTCGTAACAACACCGGCACCCTGAACCGCCAAAGAATTTAATTCGGATTGAAATGAAATCACTCCCCAAAGCTTGACGAACCTCGCTAATGAAAGGTACAATCTTGCTTTGGCCCTTTTTCGACATTGATGGTAGAGCGATGATTGGTTTTCCTTCACCGTCATTACCTATGCTGGCTCCGCGGATGAAGTCCACCTGACCACCGAAACCAGACAGGAACCGCGTACCGACTGAGTCGGCAACCACTGAAAAGTGCAGCTTAAATCCTCCTCTCGAGGTCCTTATAAATGCCAAAAAAAGTAGAAAAATTTGGAAACAGTTGCCTAAGGTACACCAACAACACGGTACTATCGCCTCCAAAGACCATTTTACACGACCGTCAGAAGGCGGTGTTGGTTGCTGTGGACATTTTGAACAACCTTTCTGCCCCTACCGCGTCTCTCATAGACCATTTCTCGACCACAAACGTCGCAAGGTGAAGTATCTTGTCCACCAGTGTCAATTTTCCGGGTAGGTAAATCCAGTTCTTCTAGTAGCTGCACAAACAGCTATAGCTAAATACATTCGAATGCTGAAAAACCCACCTTGCCCAGTGAGATCAACCTCGACAGCTGAATTGATTGCGACAACCTTGGGATTCTGTCGAATTATAGCCGGATCGTTAACCCATTGGCAATCACCGAATTTGATTAGCGGATTGTCATCCAAGTAGTCATAGAGCTTCTTGGAGCCGTAGACGAATGACACGACCAGCTTTCCAGGATCTATAACCTAGAACAATGCTTTGATTTTTGAGTCATAATTTGCCGTTTCGAAGAAATAAAGATAGAGTCACCAAATTCAGAACCAAACAAAAGAAATTTGGAAATTTGATCTTCAAATTGGAGGTACTTAAAGGCATAGTTCACGATAAACATGGCTTCTAAGATCCCTCCACAGGATGAACTTGGGGCCCCCGCGTGTACCATATTTGGCACCATTAGCTTGGAAGACGGCCTAGTTAGGGAGTTAAAAGGCTCAAAGAGTGGCCCATGTGATCCTCGGACGAGTTTCAGCGGCCAACAACTTGTCATGACTCATAGCGACAATGAAAGACAATTCTGTACAGTTCTGGCTTGGTGTAGTCAGCTCTTTGTGCAATTGTAGTAACTGAAATCTCGTCAGAATACCCCTTTCATGTTATTTCCATCATGGAAATCTCATCCAACCTCTATTTTCCCTACTGTAGAGGAGCCCCTATTTTCTCGGAATCGGCGAATTCTCTCGCTTTCTTCACTACCGATGAAGTATTCCCATTCTATACTTCCGCTTTTCGAATAAAAACGGGTGCCTCAAAATCATCATGAACTGTGTCTTTAATCATTGTACAAGTCCGTACTGTTAAGAAAAGATTACGTATTATTACGGAATTACCTTCATCTTGTTGGTGATAGCATTGCACGCGATAAGATCCAAAACACCATCCGAAAACATTTCTGTATGAATACCGAGATCTTTATGATTTTTCAGAGCAGCCAAGGCGGCATCTGGCACAGCTCCGATACCTAAAGCAATTACCCGTTGGCTTTGTAATGAAATAATCGATACCTAAAGGATAAGGGATAAAGTCTTGGGGCGTTAATCAATCCCGTCAGAGGGATGCGCCCACGCATTCGACTTCCATTCAGAATCGTAGTGGTGTATTGAATGCGTATGTGGGTTATACAATGACTTGCGGTGACCAAGCGAAGTACATGTCAGTGCTTTCATCCTCCCCCAGACAAGTCTGGTACCTATTAACCGACCCCGGAGGGATGGAAGGTTTGATTGGCCCAGGCGGATATAAATCCGGGACTAATGACCATACGTGTGAAGTGCGCCACTTGCCACTACACCGCTTCCGCCCAATCGATCAAGTAGCTTTGTAAACGGTAATTCCATTGACTTGAAATAAAATTTTAGTAAGTATCGCTCAAATCGATGCTTACTAATATCTATTTTATTGGTGAATTAATGGAATTACCGTATACAAAAAAGTGCTACTGCTACCTGTGAAGCAACATTTTTACGCCATTTACAATAAGTTCTGGATTCGTACTCACCCATTTGGAGGGTTGAACCGTTATCTACCAGATGTTCAGCGATGATTTTGCCAATCTTCTGCTCCTCTTCGCTATCCTTTCCAAAGTGGCGTTCGTGAAGAGGCCATGAAGAATGCTCTTCGATAAGTACGTCGATGTGCGATGAGTGGATCACACTGTCACCGAACGTCCTTGGCATATTCTTGCCTACCATTGCTGAAATAAATACAATACTTTTGAGCATGTCTAGAAATTGAACGGGAAGGAACTTTGACTGTTTTGGTGTCGTTGGAATGTACCGTACATTTGTTTTCAATTCACTTATGCTGCCTTAGACTAGGGGCAATGGTAATGAAGTAGTTTCAAGAAGCCGATCGCTCACCAGCCAGTGGCTCCACTCAAATGGTCTCTTCGAATGCCTTGGTTTTCCTTCGGATTGCCCTCTTGGCTGCTAGTTCGCCGTAATTCCCGTAATTGAGTAAATATGAAGAGTTATGGCTATTCTTGTATTGTTTTTGTGGTTAAGGTATTCTCCGCATGCGGACAACGCGCTACCGTACCCAACCGTGTCGAGCAAGACACAGAGCGCGCAGTGACTGTAGTTTTTTTTTTTTACTTTAGCAACTTTATGAGTTCCCGAGGACTTTTCAGAGGCGTCGGACGGTAAGTAGAACTCGATAACACCATCCAGGCATCGCAAACGAGTATATGTTCATTCCTCTACCGGGAGAATCGGTAGCTTTTTTGTTGAGTAGAAGAATCTCGGCTCGATTACTTTACACATTTAATTTTTTTAATAATTTCCACTTCTGTTTACAAGTTAAGTTGGTGGCGGAATTTCCAAGTTAATTGCTGTCTCCATTTTCTCTTCGGAACTTCTGAACTTTGCCCTGCTTTCTCCATTGGGTGGGCGCAGGTCGGTAGGCGTCAGAAAGACGCTGCTAACATCAGGACATGTTGTTGGCATCACAACTATTCCTTTAGCCTTCGATCGGCGATAGTGTTGATATGAAGTGCATGTTTTAGAACTTTTTCGCTATCAGAATTCATTTTCCCATGCGGAAATGAAGCTTTCGTCCACAAAGCGCATACCACATAAATGGCCTTTATGTCGAGCACGATAATGAAGCCCTTCCCGCAGTTGCTATCCTAGGCACTTACATACTGTGCATTCGTATCCGCTGATGGCTATTCAACTGTGCTTGATTATGGGCTATTGATGCCCTCACTGAGACTTGCACTTCTGGTCGTGACAGCCAGACAAGGGTAGCATAATATGTTTTTCGCGGAGAGGCCAAAGGCAAAGAATAAAGTCTTTCGGCGTCTATTAACCCCGTCTGTGGAATGCACCCCGCATTCGACTTCTATACGTATCGTAATGGAGTTTTGAATCATATGTTGGCTATATAGGGAAAGAGTTGCGGTGACTAGTCGTTCTGGGACCCGAGGATCACGTATGTGACAGAGCGCCCTTTACCATTACGCCATCTCCACCCCAACTGATAACTACTGATAAAGAGATGGTGACGGAAGAATGGAGTAAGTATTGGTCTCGCTTTTATGGGTGATGGTTAGATCCAGTTGTCTTTTTGCGTTTCTTTCAATGCAGATCGTGCACGGCTTCGAAGATAACTGCTTACCAGTAACATCCGCTTTCGTCCAGACCCCAGTACGAACCCTAACCAGAAATGTCCAGAATACCCAGAAACGACTCCTTTCCCTCCTGTTACTGGTTTTCTTGTTTTCTTCAGCCCGAGTATTGTAATGATGAGCTGCAACCGCTGGCTAGAGTACTGCTTTTGCCACATCCCCATAGAAGTTTTCCGAAGGAAATACTTTCAACGAGAGCCTAGACCACCATATGTATCTCCAACAAGCTTTCATTTGTATAAAAAGATCGCCACAATGATAATACTAATGAAGAAGTTGACGAATCGGGAGCCTGGAGATAATAGGGAAGATATTGAGATTCTGAGGCCTTGCGTTCTTTGGAAGGAATTTTCGAAAGTATTCAGAGAATACTGATCATTGATAAGATTATAATTGGCAGGGAACTTTTTTATGGAAACTTTTTTGAAAAGTCATTTACCGACCAATAATGTGGTCAGCATTAGCGACAGCTGCTCTAGCCGTATCCACAGACGTGCCCAATGAACAGTATCCTTTAGCATCAGGAGGAGATACCTAAAACATTGTAACACTTTCCTAATTGAATACAAAAAATATGATAAATTCATAGTTAAAAGTGAGCAAAATGAAAATGTACTAAATGTAGGAGTTTGGATAATTCATTGTAAATCCCGTGGAAAGAGAATTCACTTACGTGTAGTATGGCGGCATTGAGCTTGATGGCTCCCTTACGGAAAAGCATCGGAACCTCATGTAAAAAACACGAGTTAAAATCGGCAGTTCCTAAAAATGACATTTTTTACGAAAGTTCCTTGCCAGGAGTATAGGAAATGTAACCGTATTTGGCTCAGAAGAAAAGAAAGAAGAAGTTCCGCAGAAAATTTTTGTGTTATACCAATTACATGCCTCCAAGCTTTCATAAGAAAACACGTCTTCAAGGTGATATTGACTTCATTATTAATAATTGACCCCCTTTTATTTAGCGACAACTGTTAATTATACAAAGTTGAAACGATTCGAGGATGCTCACCATCGTTCACTGATTTCCGGAGGTTAACCCCAGTGAAGAGCGAATTGGAACGGATCCGATCTGAAGAGGTGCATCAATGAATACACTATCCGATGTGACAGTCACTCTTACCTTTCATGTCCGGAGCTGTCCATGGTGTCTCGCCTTCAAGATGCAAGTGATGGAGCTTGATACCTTTCAGGTTGTTAGCTTTCGCATGCTCACATAGACCCTTGAGCAGAGGTGTTGGCGTGGCTGCGATCCCATGTACAAAGATGTTGTCACCTGGAAGAAAAGTACTATTGAACGGCGAAGTCACGCGGGGTTACAGTAGTGTGGGCGATAGAGAGCATGGAGCCGGGAAAGAACATGCACGGGTTTGAACCCCGTTTATGGCCAAAGTTTTGTAAATAGCTCGCTAAACTCGTAGTATTTTCGAATCTTGTTCGACGGCGAAATAAAACATCAAATCAAACACCATCAGAATTTTCAAAACTATCAGGTGTGTGCATTAATTTCCGCCACCGAATTCCAAGTGCCGTTGCGCGAACCATGTTGGAGGTTTACCGGCAAAAAATGTCATGTTCTGTAAGGTGGGGTATTGGCTACCTACTCGAGGGCAGACAGATCAGTTTGGCCCCAAAATCCTGTTGCTCTCAGACTGATTGGTCATGGAACGTGATCAACCGTTTCCCCGGGGAGCCCTTCCCCTGCTGTTCGATTTCAAGTAAACTGGCATTGAACCCCACCGGATGCTTCTATGGAGGACAAGCTTCATCTGAACGAACCTGCTGAGATGCCTTCTCCTCACTCGAGAGCTTGCAACGAAAGCGGAATGTTTTTTTGCCAAAAAGTAATGCCGTGCATGCATTTGGTGGTGGGAACAAAAGGGTGTTGTGAACTGTGAGCTGCTGAGCCCGAACGAAACTGTTACTGCTGACCGCTACGAACACCAGCTTGACAGTTTTCAGGATGCTCTCACCTTAGAGCGGCCGTTAATCACAAGAAAATATCATGAGGTGCTGTTCCACCACGAACATGCCAGACCCCAGGTTGCGAAAATGTCCTTTAAAAAATTGCACTTGTTAGATGGGATCGGCTCGTTCAGCCCGCATACTCTCCGGAACTTGCTCTTTTTGATTACCACCTATTCCGGTCCATGCAAGTCAGTTTGGCAGATATACGCTTCCGAAATGCCGAAGAAGTGCGAAAATGGGTGGATAACAGGATTGCCTCAAAAGATGAAGACTTTTTTAGACCCGGAGTCAAAAAGATACCACAAAGATGGCAAGAAGTTGTAGCTAACGATGGGCAATACATTGGTTAATGAACGTTTAGTTTTAATTTCGTAATAAGTATGTTTTTGCACGCGAAAAACGGCGGAAATTAATGCACACACCTAATATATTTCTTGCATTTATGAGCGCTTCGAAAGACAACGCCCAGACGCTACGGTGTGGTTGGAAGTCAAAAAGGCTCAATGTTTGTGGCAGGGTTTGGATCAACGAGTACGGCTAAGAATTCCACAACAACAGTATGGACAGATGCTGATCGTGTCTAAATACTTGTGAAAAGATATTAATCAAGAGTTATCATAATTTCGAGTATTGTAAGTGTAGAAAGAACTGTCCAATCAGATTAAAACCCCTTACTTGTTAATGATCTGGGAACTGTTATAAGTGGGATCGGAAGGGAGCAGGTAGGCACCCAGGTAGTGGTAATAGTAGATACTTAAAGTATTCCTGTCATGTTAAAGTGTTAGTCCCCGTTCCTATCAAGGTGGCGTGTTTCTAACAAGAAAGAATGCCAGAAATGGTTGTGGAACCTGTCTAAACATGTTCTTTTCTGGTTTTTCCGGAGGTTGTCCTATATAAAGCCCAGTACATGGAGTCCTCGCTTAATTTCGCATTGGGGGAACTGGTCCAGGACATGTCGATGTGACCAGGATGGTAGTCAGTCATTACTCAGGAAATCAGGAATGGAGATTCAGTGTGCACATCTCATCTGCTCATGAGTCGAGCCACATAGGAGAATAAAAATAGAAAGGTTAATTATAAATAAGTACGGAAAAACTCAGTTCGGAAGTCTCACACCTTGAAGCACTATTTAGAACTTTGTAGACTACTGCATATCCGGGATCCTCCAATCCTTTCTACCCCTTGCAAACCTTGGCTGCAAACGACGATTTTACGAAAATTCTGATCCCTTTTTCGGTATTGATTCGAGGATATAATTTGATAAAATATTGGAAGATAAGGTGGCACCTATACTATATGGTCCGTGGATTGAAGGTCCTAGGTCGGCTATGTGATACTAGCTAAATGGTTGTCAGAATTGCTCTCCTGCATACTGTTTGTCTTCCGCCCCTCTGTCACCGAACTGAAAATTCTGCTATCCCAACTGCGATGTGGGTCATAGGTAGTGACCATAAGTTCCTATCCCCATAAGACCTTATCCTGTTATCCTTACTCTTGTTCCAGGTGAATGTTGGTGAATGTAGTAAAAAAGAATGTAGTGAAGAAAAGTACTACGACCAAAAAGATAAAAGTATACTACATAGAACAATGAAGCCTAAGATGACCGACACCCATGACACGATAAAAACCAAATCACTAAAAAATCAATCACAATGAATTTGACTATGAGTTTATCTCCCTGAACAGAGGGTTCACCTAGATCAATGGATTCCTCCCACCCCCCTCCTTATCACAGACTCTGCACAGAACGATATGAAGAGTAGAACCATAACAAAAAAATGCTAGTTCATTGGCGGATCACGAGACCTCTCCCCTATCACGACAATAATTCGACTAACAAAGATTTCCCGATGGGGCACGTCTCCTACTGAGGTTCCTACGTAAAGTGCTAAGCAAGAATTCAGCAGCCAAACAATGCTAAACAGATTTTTATCTATGGAAGTCTAGAAGAAGTCAACGATCAGTGAATAAAGCCTGGTACAGAAAGGAATAAGAACTAATCGCTGTAGGAAATTCCATTACTGTAAGTTCTCCCTACACAAAGATGTATCGACAGATGACAGTGGAAATGTAGTTGGGAGAGGTAGATAGACAATAGTGGGCAGAGGAGAAGAGGGTAGTCGAAATTGCCCGTGCTCAGGGACTGCTTTTAGCTGAAAAATATCTATATATAGTTTTTTTACGCTAGGAAGGGGTAAGAATCGAAAATTCAGTTGGTTTCCTTACCCTGGAGCTCCAACTTTCCTAATTGAAGATATATCGAAATGAAGAATTACATTACGACCATCTCCCACCCACCTCAGCACCATACGTTTCTCTGCCTTCTCTCATGTACTGATCACCACCAACAAAGCAATACGAGATACGCCGCCGGTGAAATAGAATTAGGAAATTTGTGGCACAGCCGTGTTCAACTCTGCGGGTCTTTTGCCACAGATGTTGTGTGGGTGGTGTCAATAGTTATAAGGAACGCTCTCACAATCAGTCGTACATTGACAAGCCCCGGACGCAGACGTGCATGTATGTGGATGCGAAACATGACGAAATGAAGGGTACATGGCTGAACCGTCTGTCATTACGTACCAGGCAAGATTGTCGGGGTGTGGGTAGCAACCGTGGATCCATGGCGTACCCGGGTGAGTTCTCGGCGTTTCGTCTACATCTACGTGGTTTCACATCTTCGAAGATGCTCTGCTTTTGCAATGAGCCAGAAATAAGTGTAACTTTTCATACTTTGACGGCATGGATAATCTGGAAGTTCATTCTCACCGGAGTCTCACTACTCTAAGCAAATGAATTGAGGTTCTGGTTTACTGGCTTCAACTCATCTTTGAAGTTGTATTGGACCCCGTTTTGATAATGGGATGGATATCGCTGATGAGTTCTCTAGAGACCATGCCAGATCCTGATTACGATACCTTTCATGGTTTTTTGATAGGGGATGAGTCGTAAGAGTGGATTTCATAGAGCAGGCCAGAGTCCAAACTTTAAGTGAGCACAAAATAAACCTGAGATTCGAAAACAAATAGACAATAACCAAAAAATATGTTTTGAGCAAGAGCCAGGTACAGTCAAGCGAGGGCATCGTCAAAGGGAAGCTAGGGTAAGGTAAGGTCGTCATAACAGTAATGAAAACACACCTGATTTGATTTTTCCAAACGCTTCGCTCACTTTGCAGACCTTAGGCTGTTTTCCTTGTTTGGGGAACGCTACTTCGTACTTGTCAGACAATGTCCTTGAAAATAAAAACCTTCAGTGTACACGGAAAAGTGCCAATATTCCTAGAAATCGCTCCCATCATCTTGAAGCCTGTTGTAGAGCACTTCAAAACATGATGGAACTAAGAAGCAAGGAGAGGAGAGCAACCTGCTCAACCAGCTTCTCCTAGCATCTCAAATTCGCCTAAATTTACCTCTAAAATGCACTTCCAAGTGATATCCCTTTAGCTTGAACAAAAGGATAAAGGTTATAATCTCAGGCGTGAGTCGATCCCGTCTGACTGCTTTCCCACATTCGACTTCCATTCGCAATCGTAATTGCGTACTGAATGCGTTTGTGACCTATACAGTGACTTGCTTTGGCCAGCCGATGTACAAGTCAGTGTTTTATCCTCCCAGACGAGTCNGGTTCCGATTAACCGAACCTGGAGGGATGGAAGGTATGGCTGGCCTAGGCGGATATCGTTCCCGTGACCATGAAGTGTGATAGTGAGCGCACTTACCATTTCACCACTTCCGCCTTTAGCTTGCCTAGAGGGTAGAAACTGTTTTAGCTTGTGAGGTTACTAGGAAAAGGGCAAGAAATTTTCCCTGTTGGTAAACTCCCTACTGAGATGCTCCTCACAGTTTGTCTCAGCTTCAACATGAACAAGAACGAAGCATAGGACCCTAATAGACTCCCCATCCATGCAGATGGCTTGCCTGTATACCCTGAACAATGTGACAAAAAATCTGAGCTGACATACCTGCATGCCAGAGGGCTTGTACTGATGCAACGAGACGACAATCGGGACAACATACTGCTCCAGAATGGGGACGATCGAACAAAACGAACACTTCTATGTGTCGCTTACGAACAGTCCAGAATCAAATTGATGCCTCGTTATCAGTAAGGGCGACATCAAATGAAATAGAAGGCAAAACGAAGAAATGTCTGTGCATGGCATTCTGTGTCATTGATAACTAAGTCCATTCGAAGGTATATTTTTTTGCACTATTCGCTCTGTAATCGCCTTCTTAGGGGTTTTACGGCCTACAGAAACGCAAATGAACTTGCTTTATTGATTTTCTGCTGAACTGTTGCACTCTTTGTAAAATGGATTCTATTTTGATAGGGATCCCACGTATTCTAACAGGTAAGGAATTAAAAGGTGCCTTCCTCTTACTTTATTTTTGTTGGAATCCTGAGAAATTTTTGGCGTTTATCAATCCTGCTTTTGGGATATGCTCTCATATTCGACTTCTATTCAGAATCGTAGAGGCGTCTTGAGGGCGTAGACCTACACAAAGATATGGGGTACCCATATGGTGTACAAATCAATCCGTTTACCTTCCCACTCAAGTCCGCTACTTATCAATCGAAGGAGGGACGGAAGGCTTGGTTGGCCAGGTGTGTGCTAATCCACGAACCGATTCACCGCTCATTTTGCTGATTTTTCAGTAACCTTCCTGGACACCTAAACAAAACAACAACAGCAACAACAACGGACTATCTGTAAGACAAGGCGTGCCGGCATGAGCAGGAAATGATGTATGGACCCGTACGGCAGATTGGGGTGGCTAAAATGCAGACATAGGAAGGGCTCGAAGCAAGAGCAGGTCTACTCTTTCTTGGACGTCTCGGGTACCTTTTCAGTCCTGATTCTCTAGTTCTCTACGAATTTCATCAGCCTGCAGTGCTCGCTCCAACCACCCATTGCACAATACATTTCTCTGTCCCCTCTCATCTAAAGATCACCATCAACAGAGCATCACAAAATACGTGGCAGGTGAAGGAGGAAAGAGAAATCGGAAACGTAGAGCGCTTGAACAGCAGGATTCTCGCTGGCTAGCGGAGACAGTGACAGAGTCCCTACTACAAATACGGGAATTTCTCATACGAAGGCAGTTGCCAAGTCCCGGAAGAGGAATGGCGTCCAACCTACAGACTTGGGTGCTGTGAGAGTGTTAAACTCTCTCACCACCCACGGAGAAAGATTCAAACCCTGATGAAACGCAGCCTCGATGGTTTCTTTCGGCTTCCCTAGTACATGGTTATCTGGGATTTGATGGGGATAAGATCTCGATGATGGTGGCGTAGACACTTTCCCTCCATTTGGTGGTGCCAATTGGACGATTTCGCTGATCAACTTAGCTCCATTTGTAGTATCTGGCCTCTCTCTGTCAACGAATTTCCACAGCACGGCATTAGGTGCGGACGTTATTCGGTAGCTGGCGGACGACCATCGGGTAACCCCAATGAGTGATACTGTCGCCGCCTGAGACACAAACCGACATAGCATTTTTGGTCACCTTCGTTTATCCAATAAAATTTAATGGGTGCGGACCACAAGGGCCTGCACGGGCCGCGTAACACCGTACGACATTCGGAGTTGTGGTCCCTCCCATCAGACTTTAAAAGACAATTTTCGAGGAGTAATAGAAAACACGGTAGAGATTTCCTTAACCCAGGTTTAGGCCTCCAATCGTGGGATAGAATAGAAATATTATGTTTTCTACCTAGGACTGGTTGAGTAGAAATCCAAATTTCCAAAATAATTTTCCGATGTTACTCGATGTCATGTTGTTCACGATCAGTTCCCCTTGGATGAGAGTTCCCAGAAGTTTATCAATTCTGCTCAATGGATTACCTCAGAAATCACCTCCACTTCACCATTGCAACGAAAATCCTGCGCACCTTTCCAAATTGCAGAGGAGAGCCTGAAAAGCATCAGTGCTTCCTCAATAAGTATTTTCTCGCATGGCTGAGCACCCCGCCACCGATGGACGTGACTTCCCCCTTCCCTCCCCCCACCACTCTCGACATCCTTACTACCCCTTCCGTCGGCTTTCTCTGTGCTCTGTTGGTGGGATATTCCCGCGAGGAGATGAAGAACACGAAATACGATTCCTTTGGTTAACAAGTTTGTGAGAGAATTTTTCTTTACCGTGAGGACGCGAAATTTCGAGCCCGTTCATGTTGCCTGGACGGATACGGGCTCACACTCAGAAGCCGGTAATGTCATTCGGCATTCAAGGAATTGGGGCATTGTGAAATCAGAAAGCTGGGACGAGTCCGTGGCGGAAGGAGTGAGGGAAGGGTGAAAGATGGGGAGCCAAAGGAGAGGTCGCCGTTTGACTGAAAGAGCTGGTAAGCAGAGATGTGTTTCTACAATAAGTATTCAATGAGCCAAGTAGTATGAAAAAACAGTTCGCTGTTGGCAACTCAAGTGCATGTGTCGAGGATTCCTCCGCAGGAATGTAGCATTTGACTCAAAAAGTATGGAAGGAGCCTGATGTACCTTTAGTTCAAATTTCTTCAGTATTTACATCGACAAGTCACTTATGCCAACTACTAGATCCGTTTTAGATCACATCGCTTTGTTCTCTACTCATCTACGGCCGTATATTTCTCTGTCTCTTCTTACTAGAGATTATCATTAACTGGACCCAGTACGTGATACGAAGCAGATAGAATAGAAGTCACGACCAGGTTGAACACCGTAGGGCTTTGGCAATGGGATGGTCGCAGGACCACTGCGACATCAATATTGAGAGTAACCAAGTGATGTAAGCAGGAGGTTAAAGTGAAAGCTTAAGCTCCGAAGGGAGTGAGGCTCCCTCCCATCTGCTCTGTTCCGAGATCAAACGATGGAAAGTGGTTCTAAGCTCCGAATTCCTGAAGAGTTAGGAATGTTGATGCTGGGGCTTATAAGCTAGTTGCGGCTTATTGTTTAACCCAGAGGTGAAGAAAATTTTCAAAATGAACAGAAGGCGAACAGGCCTGTGATAAACTTCCTTCTTCGACGTAGTTGCTAATCACTCATCAGAACCAAAAAGCCTGTTCCTGTTACTTAAACTATCCCCTCTCAATCACCTATGCCTGCTCTCTATGAATTAATGAATTTTACAAGTTCAACCGGGATTATATACGATGCTGAAGGTCCGATGGGACGGCGGGCAACTCGGCTCAGTAGGACCGAGCCCACACTCCATCCAAGGTAAGGGTGTGGGCTCGGTCCTGCTGAGCCGAATTGCCCGCCGGCACATCGGGCAGGTCGGTTAAGCCGAAGTGGGCCCCAGACGCAATCAAACTGGTTGGCAGATTGAAACAGCCTAGAGCCAAGCTGAAGCAGAGTGGTCCCACGGTGTAGCGTGTAAGAGTCTGGGCTCTCTCTTAA